CCCCAAAACCCCAAAACCCCAAAACCCCAAAACCCCAGTATATTACAATTTAGAGAATAATGATGAATATTTAAAATAGTCGAAATTATATAATATATAATATAAAAATTAGTAATGGATTCAGATAGAGGTGCACGCAAGAGAGACAGGTCTAAGAGGTAAGCTCTATATTTCCAATCTTTAATATACTAATCAACATACAATTTTATAGTTAGAAGAAGAGAAGATCATCTAGTTCAAGTAGTTCTGATTACAGCAGTAGGAAAGTAGTCAAGAGACAAAGAACTACTGCTCCTGGAGGAGGTGGCGGTGGATTTTCTAATTTCTCTGACAAGCCCCCTGAGGAATTGCGCACAAAGATGACTACACAAGAAATCCTAGAATACTATAAGTAGTTCAACCCTAACTAGGGTCTTACCAATCACAATAAAGCAGAGAGACAACTTTACGTTGGTAATATTCCTCCAGGCCTTTCAGTTCCTTAGATAATGGAACTTTTGAATACAGCTTTAAAAGAAATAGGCAAAGATAGTAGTGTAAGTTAATTATGATCATAATGTATTATAGTTGTTTTAAGATGGCGACCCTATTGTTGGTGCTTGGATCAGTAGTGATGGACATTACGCCTTTGTTGATTTTAGAACTGCTGAAGAGGCTACCCAAGGATTTATCCTTTAATAAGTCTCAATTCATGGAAATGTAAGTTTTCATTAGTTTCAATAAATACTAGAATCTAAAAGTTGGAAGACCAAAGAATGCAACTGGGCCTATTCCAAATCCAGCATAACTACTGGCAGGCAATCCAAATATGGCATAACCCAATTAGATGAATATGAATTAAAACAAAAAGAAGTCAAACATGATGCCATCAGGATTTAAGTCTGGAATGATGGGCGATTCTGCCAACTAAGTAATCTAATCCATGAATACAAAACTCATGGTCAGCAATTTCCCCGCCAATCACACAAAGGAAATGATTTAATAGATATGCGAAGTATTTGGTAAGGTGAAGAACGTAGATTTACTTAAGGATACCTCTACTGGAGAGTTTAGAGGTCAGGTAAACGTAGAATACGACAATGAAGTTGAGGCTAAGAAGGGTTTCACTGGCATGATGGGCCTTAAAGTAGATGAAAGCGTTCTGTTTGTTAAGAGATTGACAACTATTAGTGCTCCAACTACTTCCTTGGAGGGTGAAGTATTCAAAAATTTAATTGAAGACAAGCCTACTTGTTGTCTTGTGCTTAAAAACTGTGTTAAACTTGAGGAAATGACTGAGAGAGATGACTATAAAGAGTTGGAAAATACAGTTGAAGAGGAAATGAAGAAATACGGGCAAGTTATAAAAGTTCATTGCCCAAGACCACCCTTGTTTGGAGATCCTCTATCAGTGCCAGGAGTTGGGAAAGTTTATGTTAGATTCAGTAATGAAATTGATTCAGAGAAAGCCAAGCATGTAAGATTATTAATATATTTGATAACAATATAGGGTGTTTACAGAAGAAGATTCAATGGGAGAGCGATCGAGCCATTGTATTATCCAATCGAAAAATACAATAAAAACCAGTTTGATTGAGAGATATAAAATTGAAAGTAAAAAACATATATACCAATTAATTAAACTTAAATTTGTTATCAATAAATTACAATATTTCAAAGAATATTTGTACTCACGGGGTTTTGGGGTTTTGGGGTTTTGGG